TGGGGTGTCTGAACCATGGCTTCCAGAATATTTATCAACTTGCTTGTAAATGAACTGGTTTGACCTAACAATTGAACTAATTAACCATTCCTGCCTTATAGCAGTTTTTTGCTAGGTTTTTTTTTGGAAATATTTGTATGTGATTGCTTCAGATAGAAATTAAATATTAGAAAAGCGTATGCTATATAAGTTTCACTTAGAATGAGAACAAGTAAACATATTTTGAGTGAAGAAATTAGTTTTTTCTTATATTCTAATTCTAGCTTTTTTCTTACCTCTTCTCTCCTTCAGTCTCTTCTTCATTTCCTCACTTCAAAACTATAGTAAGTGTTGGGAAAGGATGGAGAAACTACGGTTGATTAGGTCAGGCTGGGAGAGTAGAATTGCTGCTGTAAACATTGATTGGTCAGGTGATCTGTTTACAAGAATGTGTCAGTTCTGTTATTTGAACCTACTGACATCCAACTTTTCCTGTTTTCATCATGAGTGATGCCTTATGCTCCAGACATTAAACTTCTAATCAAAAGGTTCCTGAGTTGGACTACACTTGTTGTTAACTTCAGGCTTTGGTTTTATGCCAGCCTGTACCCTTTACTGGTGTGAGATAGTTGATGACTTTTTTGTTAAGATATCTCCTTTACCAGCTCCATATTTTATGCCCTATGCTTAGAACACCTTAACAGTTAATGTTTGCCAAACAAAATTCCTTCTTCCAAAACACTTCAAGCAAATCCAACTTTGTGGAATATTCCAGTTGTAAAGGTAATTTTCTATTCTGTGTTTGTTGTAACCTGCTTGTTACTTGATCATAATCTTTTCTGATTAGGGATTCTTTTCTTTGTTTGGCATACTTTATTACACAGCAGTGTGTCCATCTGTGGTGTTATGTAAAATGTTCTTTGGAAATTTCCAAGTTTTGTTGTAATTTAAAAGTTATCTAGAGTCATTTCTAATCTAGAAACTCCAGTGTAGATCTAGGTTTCAGAGTAGCAGCCGTGTTAGTCTGTATTCGCAAAAAGAGAAGGAGTACTTGTGGCACCTCAGAGACTAACAAATTTATTTGAGCATAAGCTTTCGTGAGCTACAGCTCACTTCATCGGATGCATTCTCTTTCACTGAAATTGCACCATCAACTGAGAGTCAGAGGAACTGCTTTATTATGAAGGATGCTAGGATGTAGTTATATGGTGACTAAGGGATTACCAGACTTGGAATTTGTGAAAATAAACTAATACGCACTTCGATTTCTGAGTAATATCCAAACCTTAGGGACACTGTGACTGCATAGAACTGGAGTTCTTTCTTAGTGGCAAGCATGTTCCTTACCCACAGACACATGGAAACAGTTTTGTGGGGGTTTGTATCTGAGGAATTTGGGTCGGTGAGTGGCCTGGTTGGAAATGTAGGGGAAGTAGAACTATATGGGTTGAACTGAATTACCCCTTTCCCCACCCAAATTCATGAGGGGGACTGGGCACCTCTAGGCACTGCAATAATACAGGCAAATAAATAAATGAAGAACAGAAGTTAATACAGACCAATGCTGAATTTATGTTTGCTAGCTTGTCCTTTCATATTGTGGGAGACCCAACCCAATGCTTTTGGGTTCAGAAACCTTTATGGCTGGTATGACTCTGGCAGCCTGGCTCTAAAGGAACTGTGCTACACAAGAGGTGGCATAGGGCCCCAGAGTTGATGCAGAGACATAGGAACTCTATCTGGATCCCTTTACATTTCTGCATTTTGAAGTCTGGTTGCTTCTGTGTGAGGTGCAATTTCTCCCACACTCTCAGGACTTTCAGGCATGGGGCATTTCCCTACCTGGGTTATCACTTAAGGGTTTAGATTTGGTGCATCTTAGGTCTTACATTTCAGAAAGCTGCTGTGTGATAGGATCTAGCTACAATACAATAGTATGAGGCCTGGCTGAAACATGGTATGGTCTTGTAATGCACATAGCTATAACCATGTTGTAATGGGGACACAAAACACACTAGCTTTCTGCAGTTAAATGGGATCTTAGAGATTGCCTCTCTCCTCATGGTTTTTAACCTGGCAGTTGAGATCAGGTGGGGTGCTTGAGTTGACAATAGCTTGACTTTGGTATATGGAAGCTGGAGCTAGAGCATTCCCCAAGAGGGCCCTCTAGTTTGGAAATTACTTTTGCTTTCCCCAGGCACACGTCCTCTCCAGAAAGCCTGAGGTTGTTGGACTTACGCAGTGTTTCCAAGGCCTAGCTGTTTGTTTAGGCTTTTTTCTCCAGGGTTGTTGGAGGGATTTGTTTTATAGTTTGATGTTCTTCGTAACCCTAAGGTTAAAAAACAAGCCAAAAAGATTTTTTGGTAGTATTGGGTAGGTGGAATGTCAGGCATTTCCCCTGCTCCCTATTTTAAAAATAAAAAGTGATCTGCAAAGGAGAGAACAAAATGAATAGTTCAAGAGTGTGGGTTTAATCAGTTAAAATTTTATACCCCAATCCTGCAATAAGACCCAGACAGATCGACCCTGGTGTCCGTGCACCGCCCTATTTACTTTTACCCCGTCGATTTCAGGTGGGTTCTTCACACACTCATCCTATTGCAGTATCTCAGCTTAGAGTTCTTTTCTAACAGTTCTCAAAAGTGCAGCTTGTTTTGTAGAACTTTATGTTCAGCTGGAAGTTATAAATAGGGAGGAATTGTCCTTTGTTTCATTTTTAGGACATAGGAATAAACAAATTCATTTTAATTTTCTCATTCTCTTGGAAAAGTTTTCAGCCTTTCTTTTGCCTCCCTCTATTCTTTCTTCAATTGATCCTTGGTATCACACTTGATTGATCAATGGATTCACCATCCATTCCATTTTTATATTAAAAAAAGAATGTAAAGTGTCGTGATACTACTGTGAAGAGAGTTACATAAAAATCAGTTGTACTGTGTAATTCTTTCCTCACTAGGTAGCTATATAAGCAGTATATACTGGGTTAAGTTTAGATTAAAGCATTGGTTTTCACTCTTTTGGGGATGGATGATATATCACAGCCAACATGTGGCTATGCAATGCACAAACCAACCAATGAAGGCAAATTCTTTGTGTAAAATTAGTCCATTGTATATCCAACATTATAAATATTGTGTACAGAATATACATGTAGAGTACTGGTACAGAGTGATTCCTAACATTTTCCATTTAGTGCATAAGTGTGTAGTAAATGCTCTATACACTGCAAGGAAATTTTTTGAATGCTTCTGGAAGCAACTGCATGATTTTTTGCAATCAATAAAACAATCGGATATGCCAGAATAAGCAACACCATTCAGAAAAAAAATGTTTCTGTACCTTTTAATATTTTTGAAAATGTATTTGAACAGATATTTTTGAAATCACTGAAGGGGGGGTGGGCATAATAGTTATCTGAAATGTGATACAGAAATTAGAATATTAGAAGTATCTGAACACTGGGATGAGTAACTGCACTGCAGGATTCTGCTATTGTTGGCTAGTGCTGTTTCATGAGTAGATTCTTCCCTGCCCCCTATTCTCAAATTTTGGATTGTATTTTTTAATATTTTAACCGAATAAAATTGCCACTTTGTTATGGAGAATTTCACACCACGTACCATTACTACAAAAATGTTTCCAGGTTTAAAGCTTTTGTGGCTCCTTGGTGAACAGTAGTTTCTGCCTTTACAGTTACATAGTGGAGGGTGATGATTTGTGTAATTTTCCGTATCAAAATGAAATGATTTTCTCTGAAGCAATGCCCTGGTGTATGTTGTCTTAATTCTTTATGGGTGTTCCCCATCTGTAAAACGGGGATAGTGCCTAAGTTTGAGGAATGTTTTGAGAATTGAAGTCTTTAAACCATGATTTGAGGACTTCAATAGCTCAGACATAGGTGAGAGGTTTATTGCAGGTGTGGGTGGGTGAGATTCTATGGCCTGCATTGTGCAGGAGGTCAGACAAGACGATCATAATGGTCCCTTCTGACCTTAATGTCTATGAGAGTTAGTTAATGTTTTGCAAATATAAAGAACTAATAAATAAAATGTTAAATGCTCTGAAAATGTGACCAGACTAGCAAAACAAAATGTGACAGGCAGCATTTTAACATTTCTTATTCTGAAAGTATGTTGTATTAAGAATCCCTCTGATGATGATACTTTTTTGTTTTTGATAATATAATAAAAATAGGTTTCAGAGGAACAGCCGTGTTAGTCTGTATTCGCAAAAAGAAAAGGAGGACTTGTGGCACCTTAGAGACTAACCAATTTATTGAGCATGAGCTTTCGTGAGCTCATGAAAAGAGCATGAAAAGATGAAGTGAGCTGTAGCTCACGAAAGCTCATGCTCAAATAAATTGGTTAGTCTCTAAGGTGCCACAAGTCCTCCTTTTCTTTTTATAATAAAAATAATTGACTTTATAACAATATTGTTTTATATGCTGGAAAATAGAATGCTGCATGATTTGATTAGAGCTAGTTATTTTACAGAATGAAGTATGCAGGGTCATTTCCACTAATCATGCTTTTGTAAGTTCTGTAGAAAGTTATTTATCCAATATTTTATTAACAGAAGTATTATTTCCAAGTATGACAACTATAATTTTAATTTTGATAAATATTAATGTAAATCATGGAAGTTCAAGCTAAAAAAAAATCTGTTAGGTTGTCTAGTCCATCCTCCTTCCAGTGAAGGATTGGTCTGTACAGTATATGTTCCAGTGTGCGTGTGTATATTTTATGCAGTACACACTGTACAGTGAATGCCGTTTTCCTTTAAGAATGTGCTCCTAGGTTCAAGACTGCACTGCATACCAAATAAAAATCTCCCACCTACAGAAATCTCCCACCTACTTCCAAATGCAAATTCAGTATGTTCAGTAGCAGCTTGAAGCCCTGCATTGTTTGCTTCCGGAAGTGTGAGCCGAAGAGGACAGACATTCCCTCTGCTCAGCAGGAGCACTAAGCTGTGTTCTGCCCTTGTTCCATTATTAATGGGACAATGTTTTTATGTTGCAGATGGCTAAGAGCTAGCAAGGCACATTCAGGACCATGATGGCTCAGTTTCCCACAGCCATGAATGGTAAGTAGCTTGATCTGGGTTCATTTATGTGGTTCGGAGAGTTCTTCTTTGTCTTTATATTTAATATCAACATTATTAGTAATTAACTGATTGCAACATATGCCTCAATGTTTTGGTCAACTTGCTGTAGCATATATACTGTTGCTTATAACTTCTGATGTATAGTCTATACTCTAGGAATTCAGCACAAGTTTGTACTGCAGTATAATTAAGAGTGCACATATGCCTGGAGCATCTAGTAATTTTAGATCATTTAAGGGGTTATTACATGCCGATACGTGACTGTATTTTGAATACTGAATGACTTCAGATGAGGAATAAACTAAGTAACCATTAATTAACAGAATAGGTATTTGAAGTTGTATAATATGGCATGGGATTTTGATATGTTTTAATTTAGATATGGTAAATATTATTTAGTTTAAACTAAAATATTTCAATTAATTGATTATTCATAATCAATGCAGAATGTGCTCAAAATATGCAGATAAATCTTAAATATTTTCCCTCTTGATTTTGTTTTGTTGTCATGCCAAATAATGCAGAAGCTCATGTTTCTTTCAGTTTCCTTTCAAAGACATACTCCAGATAAAACTTTAAAAGATGCTATGCAACTTCTGACTATGTGTTAGTGAGTTGGATCACTTTGTTTCTAAAGAAAATAGTCTGCCTTAAAGAAACATATTGCTAAATCTGCTGAGAAACTGGAAGCTTTTATGCTATGTTACCTGGTGACTTCATTGCTATAATTAAAGCTGCCCAAAAATGAAAAGGGATGGTTAGAGGCAAAGCACGCTCTGTCTGCCAAGTGGGGGAAGATCTGACAGCTGGGTAAAAAATGTGCAATTTGTCTGGTTTGTTGTTTGAGGTGATAAATTTAAGAAAAACTAAGAGTTTCTAGTAGCTAATTTAGAAATTCACAACTATTAAGGTAAATTAGGGTAATTAGGATAAGGTGTTTTATATGCAAAATATAAATATTTTGAGTCTTAACTATAGGACAAAAATTTAGTTATACAGCCATGTTATGGATGTTTTCAATGAAATGTGTAAAACCATTAGTGTGCTATTGACCAACACACTGTTATACTGTAAATGGCAACTATAGCTGCATCCAGAAGTAATGTTTCAGTATTGCTTTAAAAATTAGTATAGTAGTAGAAGTAAGAACAAAATAAATCCATGTGTTGCATACATGAATTCTTAGGCAAAACAAGATGAGTACCACATTGTCTTTTCCACTTCACTGGACAGATGGGACTTAGATAGAAACTTAGTGGAGTCCTGTTTTATTTTTCCTGTTGTTGGGCTTTTTTCGTTTCGTTTTTTATTTTTAAAGTACTGATTCTTTGGCAGTATTCCCCACCCCAAATTCCATGGAAACCGTTCTTGTGATTCAGGGCTAGTTTATCTCCAGTTATTGTCCCCTCGCTGTCCCTGTGGTGAATCGGTGCTTAAAGTTAATACAGTCTTGTGCTTTGTCTTCACACACTGCCCCCCCACCCCTTCAGTCCACTTGGGCGCTGGGAAAAGGCTGTAGGGGGCAGAGAAGCAGCATTGAGGTACAGAGTCTCCGGATCTCAAAAATTTGCTGATTTGGGGAGCTGAACTGATTCTCAATCTGTACCACAGCAAACTTTGCTCCCTCTTCCCTGCACTCAAGGGAGGAACAATGCTACGTAAACTTAAGGAGATTCACCTCAGAGAGTTTGCAGTCTACTATGTGAAATCTGCACCTTTAGTTCAGGGGTGGGCAAGGGCCACCTCGGGCTTGCAGAACCGTATGGAGGGCCGGGTAGGGAAGGTATGTCTACACTGCCCACGTTAGAGCGCAGCTGTGGCAGTGCTGTGATGTAGCCAGCATAGATATACTTTATTGCCAGGGGAGAGTTCTCCTGGCAATTAAAAAACCCCACCTCCAACGAGTGGTGGTAGTTTTATCACTGGGAGTGCGGCTTCTGGTGATAAAGCGCTTTCTATACTGGTGCTTTTCAGTGTGTTTTTTCTCACCCCTGCACGACTGAAGTTTTAGCGCTGGAAGCGGCAGTGTAGACACAGCCATCCTGGGTTTTGATCTAGGAAGAATAAACCTCCCCAGCCTAGCTGGAGCCAGGCAAGGGGTATTGCCCAATTAATAGCTTCTCCATTGTTTCCTCAGGGACACTTGGTATTCTCTTGGACTGTACCTTACCTCAGTGGTTCTCAGCCTTTTTTTAACGAGGAACCCCTAAACTTAAACAGACAAACCTGCAGATCCCCCAAACCCCCTCATTATTTTGTTTCTCATTATTTGTTTCTTTCATGTTATTTTAGTAGTTATCACAAATATTACTATAGAGAAATTATTATTATTTTAGCAGATCAACAAAAAACACATCAAATTAAAATATTGACAGTTTACCTGATATTAATGATAAATTACAGCATTGCTAGGTGATATATGGGAGTATTGGAGGGATGTATGTTTACTAGCAGAGGGTATTTGGGAAAGGACTGGAGGAGCTCATGTACTGCGAGGGGATATTTGGGGGAATGCTGGGGTGATGTACTGGGAGGGGTATTAGGGAGTGCTGGAAGGGTGGGTGTACTGGGAGGGGTATTTGGGGGTGCTGGAGGGGGTACCTGCAGCCTCTCACTCGAGGTGGGAGGCAGTGTTGCACTCCCTGTCATGGTGGCAGTGCGGCTAGCCCAGGTTTGGGACACAGTGCCAGCCCATCAGTGCCTCCCTGCAATCTTCTCCCCCTCCCCTGGCCCAGCCAGTCTCTGAGGCCCCGCAAGAGGAGCTTGCCGTCTCCACTTACCTGACGGGCCTGGGTGGGCAGGATCCAGCAGCTATGGTTGCAGGGGAGGGACCAGAGGCAACTGGAGAGGAATGTTCCAGATATGGGGGCTAGGCCAGCCTTGCATGGCAGGACTCGGGGAGGAAGTGCCTCTTCCAACCCCTGACTCACTTCAGTGGGCGTTCTGCAAAGCCGGCATTGGGAAGTGCTGGGACTGCAGCAGCAGGGAAGGAGAACTAGCTCCATGTAGCGGGGGTGGGGACCTCAGCCCACAGCCAGCCATCCTGCTGCTTCCTTCCTCCCCGCAATGCACAGACACGTGGTGAGTGCAGTTGCTAGGGGGAGCTGCTGCCTCCTCGCTGCTTGGTGTCCAGAGGCTTTGCCCATTCCCATTGCTCTGGGGGGGCAGAGTTTGTGGAAGCCCCACTGGATGGGTCTCCTCTAGAGTTGCCAGGTGTCTGGTTTTCGATAGGAATATCTGGTTGAAAAGGGACCCTGGCGGCTCTGGTCAGCACCGCTGACAGGGCCACTGAAAGTCCAGTTGGCGGAACAGCAGGATTAAGGCAGGCTCCCTGTCTGCCCTGGCTCCACATGGCTCCCAGAAGCGTCCGGCATGTCCCTACAGTCCTTAGGTGCAGGGGCAGCCAGGGGGACTCTGTGCACCGCCCTCACTCCGTGCGCTGGCTCCGCATCTCCCATTGGCTGGGAACCTCTCAGAGGTTTCCGGCCAATGATTCTGCAAGCGCACAGAGCCCCCGGCCACCTCTGCACCTAAGAGCCAGAGGGACATGTCAGCCGCTTCCAGGAGCCACCTGAGGTAAGTGCAACCTGGACGGAGCTTGCATCCCAAACCCCCTCCCGAGTCTCAACCCCCAGCCCTGAGCCTCCTCCTGCACCCTAACTCTCCTGGAGACCGCACCCCACATCTCATCCTGCACCCCAGCCCCCTGCCCCAGCCCTGAGCCCCTCCTGCACTCTGAACCCCCCCGGCCCACAGCCCCTCCTGCATCCAAACTGCCTCCCTGAGACAGCAGCCCGCACCCCAACCCCCTTCCCCAGCCCGGAGCCCCGTCCTGCACCCCAAACACCTGCCCCAGCCTGGTGAAAGTGAGTGAGAGTGGGGGAGAGCAAGTGCAGAGGGAAGGGGAATGGAGTGAACGGGGAGTGGGGCCTCAGAGAAGGGGCTGGGCCTCTGGGGAAGGGGGCAGGGTAAGAGTGTTCTGTTTTGTGCGATTGGAAAGTTGGCAACCCTAGTCTCCTCGGAAGGCAGAAAACTCCGGGGTGGAGGGCAGGATGTGACCCCGCATGGTTCTCCCCCCTTTGGCCCCCCATGCGTCACCTCTGGGAGGGACCAGTCAGTTCACAGACCCTCTTGATTATACTGGCAGACCCCTAAGGATCCCTGGACCAGGGATTGAGAACCACAGCCTTATATTACTGTTGCTTCCTTTCCTGTTTGTTTTCCTCCAACAGCCTCCTTTGGTTTAACACCTTACAGTCAGGGAGGATAATATCACACAGGTTAACTGAGATGCATCTGATATTCATAAAATACACATAACTTACTCATTTTCCACACTTATCCAAGCCCATGACCTGACTTGGATTTTACTAATTGAAAATAGAGTTCAGTCTAATAATGTTAGCCTTACTTGGGTGTCCTGGAGACTAGCTGAGGCATGTCAGTGTGATTAGAATCATCTGCTGCATTTGCCCTAAATGAGAATTATTCTCTCTCAGTAGTGGATAATAGCAGTTGCTTTCTAAAGCTGAGATAAAGGTACTTAAGTTTGTCTGAAGATCCACCTGATTTTCTTATGTGTGGTAGTGCTTGAAGTCCAGAGATGGACAGACGTTAGGTTCGACCTGGTATGTGTACCAATATATTGAGGCAAGAGACAAGGAACAGAAAAAGTTAAATTTGATTTCAGAGTAGTCTTGGTCTGCAAGCATTGTTGACTAGAATAATAACTACAGCTTTCCAAGGAGAAATACTGTTTCTTGGTTCAGAATGGGCTTTCATAAAACAGTGTGGAATGAGTTTTCAAGTTATTTATTACCAAAGTATGCGAGAAATGGAAGAAAATGAAGAAGGTTCTAATGGTGATACTTTTATAGATGTTCTTGTTGCTACAAGAGAATGAAAAAACAAAACACTAATGAAATAAAAAGGTGAATGCAGTTACATAAAAAGCAAAAAAAAATTAGTTGGATTGTAAA